GATAAGGCACTATATCAAAAGCTTTATTATTATTAATTTTGAAATGATCCATCAGATTTCTCTTAACATTCTCTGCTGTGAAAGAAGTAGTTCCAGTAGCTGTCAAGATCAGCCATGATCTAATAAACTGTTATAAACACGACTGTTCGTGGGACACTGCTGTGCGCAATTGGCTGCTGCTTTCGCCCACAAATATACAGTCAATTCACTTTACAGTCTATTCTGTGAAGCGCTTTGAGACATCTCGAAGATGTGAAAAGCGCTGTATCAAATGTAAGGATTATTATTAGTAGTATAATGCCAGAACAGGCTCGAGGGGCTGAACAGCCTATCCCTGTGCCTATATCAATCCAGTAGCAACAGTACATTAAACTTAACTTCGGCTGGATAGTGAACTTCAAAGTCATATAGGACCAATTGATTCCTCAATATTGCTCTCAGTTAACCATAAGGGCTTTCTTTAAGTGATGGTTTAAAAATGTAAATATCCAAATCGCTGTATCCTTGTAAAACCACCTGACACTCAATTTAGAAAACGCATTATCTTAAAGGTACAAAGCATCTTGTGGTTCTCCATCAACACGTTTAGCTTTTTTTTAAGCAAAGTTTTAAGGACACACAAATGCTAAATTGTGCCCTGGTAACCTGAAGCTAGCTGAGGTTGAGGAGTTTTCAGACCAAAAATAACGATGCTTAATTCCTCAGTAGAGTTGAATTAACCCTCCCAAAGCCAAGCATGGTTCAAATGATGCAGGAATTCACGTGCAAGACCTCGGTTAATATAAATAATAATCCTTGCATTTGATATATCACTTTTTACACCTTCTGGACGTCTCAATGCACTTCACAGTATATACTGTAAAGTGAATTGACTGTATATTTGTGAGCGAAATGCAGCAGCTAATTGAGCACAGCAGTTTTCTAATGAGATCATGGGTCAAGGCAAAGTTTACGCCAGGAACACAATGATTTTTTCCACCTGAGAACTTTAGCAATCCCTTAGGGCTCCTCCTTTTTTTGCATGTAGTTTTTGCATTTAACAAATGTGGCAGTCATTTTAGTGATTCCACCAAAGCAACTGAACCAAGTAGATTCAAGTAGGCATAGGTCAATCGTCTGTGTGTTCTTACCAGACACAAAAAACACAGTTTCCACTGATGGTAGATTTTCATAAATGTCAGCAAAACATTTTTGAGCAGTAATATTTTTGCAGTCTTCTGCACAAATTATGCAATATAAATTGCATGTTTTCACTTTGAACACACACTCTAGCTGGTAATGCTGGTCGTACCACTGAATGCAACATATCTCTTTTAGATAAAGTATGATTTTAACAGAATTTATCAATAAAAGTTTTGTCAGGGTTTTACGAGATGTATGGCATTGACTTTCCTATTTCTTACCAGTTGTTGGTGCCTCTTTGTGAACCCAATTAATACAGAGAGCATAATGCAGGGTCTGTGTAACTTTCTGTTTCCTGCAGATAACACCTTAACATCTAATTACCATACTATATTCACTACTAATATTAAAAACAGGAGGAAAAAGTGTAGGTAATGTCTTTTGCTGAAGTAATCTGCAGAAATATACACTGTTTTTCACCCAATTGTTTCCACGGTTTTAAATATTTTGAACCTTATTACATATGTTCAAGGTTTATCAATTGTCCTTATAATTAAACAGACATACCCTCTTGCGTTCTCTTTTACTGTTAACAATGAAACCACATGCAGTTCAACAACCTAAGCATTTAATGTCCTCCTCATTTACTCCGAATCCCAGTAAAACTACAGTGAAAACATTTGTTGCTATTAGGTATCTGAGACAGTGTTAAAGTGTTAAAAGTAAAACCCAAGAATTGGCATCTTTGAAATTCAAGCTAATTATCCTGCATAATATTGTTATATAAATATCTTAAAAGACAAAACAGGTCTGTAACAAGTGATTATTTGGATTATTTGAACTTCAGTTTAAGGTCCTCCATACTCCTTTGCATTCTTTCCATGCCATTTGTATACTATAATAGTGTGGTGGTGCCAATGATCAGGCTTGATGCCTTCAATCTGCTGTTCCATTTGATTCATTACAGTAAGCATCTGATTCAAGTTGTAAAATAATCATAATATGTAATCTCACTTACCTGCTGCTCCAGTGGCCAGATCATTACTTGTCTTGTCATCTCTCATGCTGTACCACTAAATTCTGCAGCCTTGCCCTATCGTTGATAACATTCTTCACCACCTCTAAACTTTTCAGTCTGTTGTAGTCTTAGAGACTAGGCGATTCTGTGTGTAGTCTCAGTCATTATTACCATACAATGTCCCAACACAGAAACACGCCATTTGGCTCATCAAATCTTCACTGTTATTTTCTCCCTCCACATAAGACATTTAATTTATTCCTACTCTTATAAGATTAATATAATAATCCTTGCATTTGATATAGAGGATTTATAAAGGATTTATTTATTTGATATAATAATAATCCTTGAATTTGATATAGCATTTAGCTTGTTGGCAATATATCTCAAAAGCACTTCACAGGAAATACTGTAAAGTGATGTGACTGTGTGTATTTTGTGGACGAATGCAGCAGCCAATTTGCACACAGCTGTGGTGCTCCTGCTCGCTCCTCATATCTTTCAATATTGCTCTTTTGCAAGCATCTCTCCAATTCCATCTTAAAGTAATTTACAGGCTCTGCTTCAATGACTGTTAGTGGCAGAGAATTGCACATTCCAACCACCCTCTGCACAAAGATTTTTTTTCTAATCTCCCCTCTAATTCTTTTTATTGTCATCTTCAACCCATACCCTCTCGTTGCTGACTCACCAAACAGTGAAAATAATTTATTATTATTTACCTTGTCATAACTCTTTATCATCTTGAAGACCTCTATCAAATCAGAGATCTGAGACAATATCCTGCTGTCAAGCATTCTTTTCTTGACTGGTGCTATCAGAATGCAGATTCTCCGAATGATTTTGTCCTTCAATTGAGGCTGACACTTCTGAGATTAGTTGTCCTGACAGACACGTCAACTGTTTTGCCTTTGTGGAATGCTAATTTGATGAAATTTGAGTCAAAAGAGCTCCAATGTATCAGGGTACTGAAGTACAGAGCACCGCTGAGTATAGATAAAACAGCTGGCACAGATGATGGATTTAAATAATGATGGAGCACAGGACTGTTGTACAAAACTAGGATGATACCTCCATGAGGAATACTGCTTGAGGCCAGTACTATGCTAAATACTCAGAATAGCTTTAGACCTGATATTCCACCTCGTCTTAGTCTGCAAGACTTTTAAATGATGAAAGTTAGGATCGCCCCAAATTGTGTCATACTCTTAAATGTCAGTCTTAATTAAGTTGGAAGCCAGTTATTTTTTAGAAATGCAGCAAATTTAGTTTTCAATTTAAGAATTAATTAAAGTATCTCCATAATTGTGCGATCATATATTTTAAGAGAAAATCCAGGCTTAGATTAGGTGAAATTTTCAAGCTCAGGTAACTTTAGTGCTGGTCGATATTGTATTTTACACATGATGCTGCATAATTTCAACATTGCTTCATGTCACCAGATTAGACGCTTTGTGGTCCAGTAACCAAAGCAAAGCCTTTGGACATTTAATTCTTAATTCCAACAGATTGTGGCTGAATCCAACTCTATTTCATTTTATTCAGTAGCTATTACAATGCATAGCATGTTCATCATCACTTTTGCTGACAGCACATGACTGAAATGCATGATGTGTACTGAAGATGCTTTTGAAGCAATTTGTCAGGTTACAAGGCATGCGCCATCTTGTCTAATGTGGGGTTGATTTCAGCAGTTCTCACTGTGCTGTTCAATGTAGAACACAAAAAATGGTAAGACAGGTTTTCCCACCAATGTATTCCATAAAATACATCCTACAAGTCCATTCATTAAGTAGCAGTAAGGCTTGTCGTCTGCTGACTTGCTTGCTCTGGTGAAGGGATTGGTAACCACTCCCCCTTCTGCACCATCAATTGATCAAGAATGGCTCACATAGCTTCACAAAGTTTCTGTAAAGTGTAGCGACTATATTTTCGTAGGTGAATGAGACAGCCAAATTTGCGCTCATCAGTGTCCCACAAACAGGCATGTGTCAGGGTCTCGATTTATCGTCTCATCCAAAGGGTGGAACCTCTAAAAATGTAGCACTCCCCCAACACTGCACTGGAATGTAAGCCAAGTTAGTCCACCTCAAGATTGATGGCCTTCTATACTATTCTCAAGGAAGCTCAGAGAAGAAAAAAACTTCCCCAACTGAAACACAATCCACAGGAAGATACCTTTTTAACCATAGATAGTCCTATCCCCATGCCCACAAAGAAAACTGACCGAGAATTTGGGAAATTTCTGAAATTTATAACTCTGGTCGCTGAGATGTTGATGAAACTGCTAAAGTCCACATGTCCATCTGTAGCCCTAGTGATTGCATTGTCTCAAAGAGTTGAAGCTGCAAAATATGAATCACTTCCATGTTTTACAAGCTTAATAAGCACTTACTTTTGCTGTATTTAACCTGATCCATAAACCAATAGTTGCAAATGCTCATGGGGAAAATGGTGGCATAAACGGTCAGTTGCATCTGGTGGATCCCAAGAATATCATTCTGACCCGCGAGAACTCAGTCAGACCCCTTGGAGCAGTGGTCTCACCAGTTTATATGAAGGATGTGGGGTTCCCTGGAGGTGACATACTTTACATCCAAAGGCCATTTTTCAGTGCTGTGGAGTACTGTTGATCCAGCTGGTTCAGGAAACAGACTATTGAGACTGCCACTGAGAGTTGACTCAATTCTGTTATTCCATTGCCAAACACATCATCTTGGAGTCAGCTGAACCCTAAAGAGACCCCCTCACCTTCATGGGGTGAAGGGAACTTGAATGTGTCAAAAGATAAAGCATTCTCCTTCCTCCTATTACCTTGTTTGTTGTTGTAGTGTACACAGGAATACAAAGAAGTCACTTGAATAATTAAAGTGGGTCTTGAAGCTTTAATAAATGACTTGGCCTACGTAAGTTTATTATAAACTGCTGAGTAATGTTGCCAATACTACCAGAATCACAGTACAGTGGTCATGTTTAAACTATATCAATGTGATTGTTTACAATTATCAATGAACTAAAATCAACACTAGCTACACCCATTGTGCAAGTTTTAAAAATACATGATCAGAAAATCAGGTCAGTGGAAAAATCCTACTTGCAGCTTCATGCATTCTTTGCTACAAAGAGTAAGCACAAAGACACTACAACAGTCAGCAATTATAAACAGCAGATAGATCATCTCTTACAAACTCAATATTGGGCAGTTTGTTACCGTAACGTGTACATAATATGGCAGTTCATAACATTCAAAGTTGGTTTTGTCACAAAGACAGGTCAATAAAATAAATAACACATTATAAGAGGAAACACTTTACCAGCGGTGGATAGCACCACCGGGCTATTAGCTGAAGTGTCTGGCTGGTCCGTTAACCAGTTTGCTGAGGAGAAGGTACACGTGGGGAGGAGAAAATGCAAAGCGTGTATATGTGTGGGGGAGGAGAAGACGAGGGGGATGGAGTGGGGGAGAGAAAAGTGCTAAAGAAAAGGATATATATCACTTGTATCCACTGAACTGGAACAGGCAGATAAAGCCTGAGGTTGCCTTGCCTACTGGGGCAAGACCAAAACTGTACATTAAAACATTCAGGAAAAAATAGAATAGGCAATGGCACTGCAGACCTAACTCGATAAACGGTTGAAAAGAAAAATGTCAGCATTTTATGAATCCCAACTTGATTTCAGAGACAAATCTGGAGTGGGATTCTAATTTCTTCTCTCTCATAGGGGGAGGTTGGAAGTAACAAATGCCAATTCAGACAGAGTGAACAATTATATTTTATCTGTCCTGCTTAGGAGCCTGATTTCTCTCCATCCACTCCATACACACACCCTTGCTCTACCCTGAATGGTTTGTTCATTCTTATGCCTTGTCAATTGATGTCATCACCAAAATTATCCACTCCCACATTAACCCATTTTAATCCATTCACCACATTAATGTTGTGCTGTGAATTGCTTTAGTTTGCGATCACTTCACAATTAGTCCAGCACCATCATTCCACATCCCTCTACAATGCCCAGCAACTATTAATAGAGGATAAGAAATTAGATCTTTCATAATGAATGAGTTGAACGCGGGGAAGAGGGACCTGATTTTAAATATAATTCATAAAAAATTCTATCAGAATGGTGCAAAACCCATATCTGTCAGCAAATCCAAGACATAAGCCTGCAATTGCCATGTGGTATATTTGCCACAGCAAAATTACAACTTACATTGTTACTAAGTAAAATATCCATTTCAGGGTCAAGTCTAACTAAAATGACTTCCAGTAACACATCTTTATAATTCTTACTAAAATGCATGAACTACGTTACAGTGAAAAGGCAATTAAAACAATCACCATTTACAGCTTAGCTTCACACTATCAGAAAAGCGTGATCACAGCTCATTTAACTATTTACTGTCAAATTCTGCTCACGTACAAAATATGACAAAGCTGTATTGAGTCAACAACTGCAATCTGACTAAAAGTATCTAAGTTGTTGTACCTATATTACTGTGGTCTATGAGACAAGATTCAAAAACATTTATTGTACACAGATCTAAAAAATAAAATAAAAATAAAAACTAGTTCAAGATCAACACAGTATTTTTTTCTAAAGTTTTAAAAATTATACTAGGCTAATTTAAATGATTTTAGCCTAAAGAAAATTGTTGCATTTGATGTGCATTTTTCTATCACTATGCCTGTCAGTCTAAATTACGTTCCTGCACACCAGACACTGGTGACAAATATATGAGTTTCACCATTGCAGGACTGCTACAACTACAAAGAACTAAAGCTTGGATTCAAACAGTAAAGTTTAGTATTCAGTGTACAAGATGGTGACTCTAGACACCTGCCGCTGAATAATGATTCAAGTTAACCTGCAGATAGCTTTATTGCAACACCCATCGAAAGGGAGACTATATTTAACACTTTAGAAATACAGAATCTCACAAGGGAGATCACTTCCCATTAATTCTGCATATTTTCTGCTTCCAAATGCAAAATTACCAGCAAAATCCACCACAAAGAACCATTTGCCCGATTTAGCAAATTACCCCCTAAGCATCAATCGCTTCGCAACTGAGTGATTTTTTTGCAATTTTTATGCATTTTTTGTTCCAACTTCCCCAGCACTGATTGATGTGTAACCTCTTTGCTCCAACAGAACCAAGTCCTTCAGTTTTATCTTTCAATTGAGTCCCAGTCTGGGAATCTGACACAGCAGGTAAAACGTGGAGAAACTTTTTTTTAAGATGACGAGTTTGCTCAGCTCAGCCACAGGAGATGGCGGTGAATCGCTTTGAGATGCAGGACATGTTGTGTAGGACGATGCCCAACAAGAACAGGAGCACGCAGGCCACGAGCAGCACAGTGCAAACACCTGAGCAGGTGGAAGTTTTGACACCTTCCCGGCCTTCCTCCTCCTGCTCCTCCTCTTCCTCCCTCCTCAGTCCGTGTTGCAGCTGTTGGAGTTGCTGACTTTCCCCTGGGATCACCACAGCCGTTAAGGTCTTCCGCTGGTTTCCTGGCAATAAGCGACAGCCCCCTTCTCCTGGCAACAGTGCGCTCTCCTTAGTAACAGTCAGAGGTAGCATGTAGCACCCGTTGCTTGGAAGCTTGATAAAGACCGGGGTGTGGTCGGAGGTGTGCGGGATGCTGATCACGGTGATTACTTCTGGGTCGTCAGGCAGCTGAGATACCGAGACGCTCGGGGAGAGCTTGGTGACAGTTCGACACCAGGGGCACCTCAGCTCCTTCTGGCTGCTCCTCATCTGCTGGAGGCAGACAGAACAACAGGTGTGTTTGCAGTCCAGCTGCTTCGGGCGACGACGGGGGCTGAAGTAATTGAAACATATCTGACATTCCAGCTGGGAATCTTGAGAAAGTGTCTCCATTTTTATATTGACAATGGATACTTTTGGGGAGATGACTGCGGGAGCTCTAAATTCCCTGATATATGTATATATTATAATATATATATATACACACACACACACACACTCTTATGCTTTTGCTCCCCACGGCAGGAGCCCAGATTCACTGACTTAAGTTGTTCTAGTCTTCAGGTACTCCTTCAGGAGGGAATGGGCTAAGGAATGCCCTGGGAGTTCCAGCAAGCACCCGATTGAATTCTTTCATTACCTGGAAAACAAATCAAAGAAGACAACACTGAAATGAGTAAGTAACTTAAGGTTATGCTAACAAGAAGCAGATGGTCTTTGTGGATGTGGTCCTACTTGCATCATACTTGCATTATTTTCTTTCAGAAAGAGAAACTCTTTAAGTTTAAGATCACTCCATCCCTCTAATAACAGAGATGGACGGCAACCAATTTAAAACCAAGTGAATGACTTGCAAACTGTCCCGTAAGCTGTAAAAATACTTTTACTCTCTTGAATGTAAATTTGACAGGCTACTCCTATAACAACAATTTGCATTTGCACAGCTCCTTTCATGCAAGATAACATCTTGGGAGTGTTGCACAATCGTGGGGTTGTAAGCATTAGGAAGAGACATTAAAAGGTAGCCTCGTACAACTGTACCAAGTTGTGGCAGGCAGTAAGTGGTAACATTTAGATGTGTCCCAACAATTTACTAATCTCAGTCATACCAACTGGAGGTGCTTACAGACCAAAAATGTCTGGAGTTTCTTCATGGAGCAAAAAGTAAAAAACAAATAAAAGTACAGTAAGAAAGATACCTCAGGCATTTCACTAACCAGTGATCAAGTACATTACTAAACGAATGGGAGCACATTGCCTAAACATGATCTCAAACAGGAAAATCAGGTATGATAATAAGGAGTTCATAGAATTAGTAAGTAAAAACAAGCTGAAAGCAACATTATTGCCCACAAAGGCCTCACTCAACTCTGAATGATTTCTTGAAAGATACCAGACAAAAAAAATCAGATACAATCACAAAACAATGTTTCTTTGTCCATTTAAAAAAAATTAAATCTGTTAAGATTAGTTACCCAAAGTCACTAATACTCAGTCTATGGAAGACAAACACAAGCAAGGTCCTAGTTATGTAGGTACCTGTGTTTTCTTCAGCATTGATTCTCCAATCACACTGTTCCGCAAACAATCGCGTTTACGATTTATCTGCAACCTGATCTTGTCTGCCCTTCGAGAATATTGATTGGACCCAAGAATTATATTTATGTGCCACTGCAACAACTGATTCGTTACTTACTATTATCGCTTTACATAAGCCATCAAAATGTTCCCTTCACTTCTCGTTTCATTGTTAAGAAAGATTAGTTAACATGATCATTAAATGTTCCCATCTTCGCTTGTTTTCCTGGTAAAGTGGGATGTACCTGGAGTACAGGAGCCCAGATTATGGAGAAAATCTGGTCAGATTGCTCCCTACATGACCGATCCAGTCCTCTTCCATTTACCTCCCACCCCACCCCAGCCCATTCCATCCCGCTCCAGAACCTTTGCTTCTAAAATGTCCTGAGACGGGATAAACAGAATAAAATTGCACATCTAACTTACAAGAAGCGATTCGGTTACCACAAGCGCATTTGTGAAAATGTGAAATTCCAAACGATTCCAATAGTTATATCCTGCAACAGAGCATCAACTGAAAAAATCCTGGAACTCAAACAAAGGGAGCGGAAAAAGATAGGGACGGCGGGAGGGGGGTGGGGGGGGGTGGAAAACTGTCACAATAATTAGTGGATCTGCATCTAAATGGACCCATCCAGCCCCACCACCCACCCACACAGACACCCTCCCATCACCTTCTAAAATAAGTGGAGAAGCAGGCAGTCATGTTGACAGTGCTGTTGCTGTTCATGCCACACTGAGACCTACAGACACACTGCAATCCCCTTTGTCTCCAGTCCAGATTCCTGCCTGTTTTTCTACGGAAAACAAACAAAAGAAACAACCCCTCCCTAAAAACGCCCAACTATTTCTTTCCACCGAAAGGTCTCTCGTCCAACACTGTCAGAGGATGCCATACCTGATCAGCTGTGGAGGGGCACTGCCCTGTATCTTATTGCCCAAAGGCTGTGTTGGAGGGGGGGGGGGGGGGTCGATCAGACAACACACACACACAGACAGACACAGAGAGAGAGACCAGAGAGAGACGAGCTGGAGCTACATCACTGTTGAAGCACATCAAAAGCATCTTTATTTACCCAGTCCCTTCCCTTGCAAAAAAATTGTATCAGCTGCGGCATCCTCTTTGCAGCCTGAGCAGAGACTGCGGGGACATACACTGTACAAACACACAAATGCATACATAAACATATATATATAAAAAAACAGTATTTATTTGTTCAACTCGATTTCCCCAATTCCTGACTTTTCTCCTGCACGTTGCACACACACACACACAGAGTTTGCTGTGTGACCCACTCGCTTTGGTGGCCTCTCGGTGGTTCCTTGTGACTGTGGACCTGGACTATGGACCATCCCCTGACGGTCTGTGTGTCTGTTTGTCTGTCTGTGTGTCTGTCTCTTGCCTCTTGTTTTAAACATGTTTTATTCTCCACAGACATGCCCGACATGGAGACGCCCTGATCCTAACCTGTGGGGAAAACAGAACCCACTGACATCTGCTGCGAGAGGCCAAGAGAGACAACAAGTAAGTGCATAGCTGATGGACCATGGACCAGCTCCCAGAACCCCCCATCACCCCCACCACCATCACCCCCCCCCCACCCAGGTGTTTTGACCCAGTCTGTGCTCACACACACACACCCTGTCACCCACCCCCAGCCTTCATCATCATCATCACCATCATCATCACCATCCTCCTCTGAGCCAGACCTCCCACCCCCCCCCACTGTCTGAACTCACACCAACCTCACAAACAACTGCTTCACCTCCATCCAAAGTTATTGGGGTTCCTCGGTTTGCCTTTGGGGTGTCGCCTGGGGTTGGTTTTAAATAAAGAGAGAGACAGAGAAAGTGGGTTAAGGGCAGGTTCACAGCAACCCTGGTATCAGCAGCTCTCCTCTCCTCCCCCTCTCCCTCCCCTCCTCCTCCTCCTCCACTCCCCTCTCCCTCCCCTCCTCCTCCACTCCCCTCTCCCCCTCCCCTCTCCCCTCCCCCTCCCCTCCTCCTCCTCCTCCCTCCCCTCTCCCCCCCCCTCCCCTCCCCTCTCCCCCTCCCCTCTCCAGGATGGTTCCCTTTTCCTCTCGTCCCTCTGGTTGTTGGTCGGTTGGTATTTTCTCTGCTTCAAAGCGGCGAAGATCGGGGTATGACCCCCTGTCCCCCCCCCCTGCCCCCCCCTGTCCCCCCTGTCCCCCCCCCCCCCGGGGCTGCGGCCCCACAGACACCTGATCTGCAGACACTCATTCACACAACAACAACAACAACACTAACAGTGTATACAGTGAGTGCACAGGAGCTCCGGACACATACCTTCAGCGATCCCGGTACCCCGACACCCCCTCTCCCTCTCTCTCTCCCCCTCTCTCTCTCCCCCTCTCCTCTCCTCCTCTCTCCCTCTCTCCCCCTCTCCCCCTCTCCTCTCCTCCTCTCCCTCTCCCCTCTCTCCTCTCTCCCTCTCTCCCTCTCTCTCTCTCACCCCTCTCCCTCTCCCCCTCTCTCTCCCCCTCTCCCTCTCCCGTCTCTCCCCCTCTCCCTCTCCCTCTCACCCCCTCTCCCTCTCTCCCCCTCTCCTCTCTCCCCCTCTCCCTCTCTCCCTCTCTCAGCTGCTCTCGGCTCTGATGCTAAAAATGTCCCTTTATTTTTCTGTCCCACACGAGCTTTGTGATGACTGAATGCTCATCTCTTTCCGCAGCCCTCCCTCCTCCCTCCTCCCTCCCCTCTCCTCTCCTCTCCTCCCTCCCTCCTCCCTCCCCCTCTCCTCCTCCCTCCCCTCCCTCCTCCTCCCTCCCTCTCTCCTCTCCTCTCCCTCCCTCTCCTCTCCTCCCTCCCTCCATCCCTCCTCTCTCTCTCTCTCACTCCCTCCCTCCTCTCTCCCTCCCTCCCTCCCTCCTCTCCTCCCTCCCTCCTCCCTCCCTCTCTCCCTCCCTCCCTCCTCCTCCTCCTCTCCCTCCCTCCCTCCCTCCTCTCCTCCCTCCTCCCTCCCTCCTCCTCCTCCCCTCCCTCCCTCCTCCCTCTCTCCTCCCTCCCTCCCTCCTCCTCCTCCCTCCCTCCCTCCCTCCCTCCTCCCTCCTCCCTCCCTCCTCCCTCCCTCCTCCTCTCCTCCCCTCCCTCCCTCTCTCCCTCCCTCCCTCCCTCCCTCTCCTCCTCCTCCCTCCCCCTCCCTCCCCTCCCCTCCCTCCCTCCCTCCTCCTCCCTCCTCTCCTCCCTCCCTCCCTCCCCTCCTCCTCTCCTCCCTCTCTCCTCCCTCCTCCCTCCCTCCTCTCCTCTCCTCCCTCCCTCCTCCCTCCTCTCCTCTCCCTCCCTCCCTCCTCCCTCCCTCCTCCCCTCTCTTCCCTCCCCTCTCCTCTGATTATTACTTCCTTATTTCTCACCTCTCGTTCGTTCTCTTTCTTTGCTCCTAAAACCAGATCTTCAGCTCTGGTGCCGCTCTCTGTGCTCCGGCAGTTGCAGTGTCCAGCCCCTGCCTGCCCTGCCCTCCCTGCCTGCGCTGCCCTGCCCTGCCCTGCCCTCCCTGCCTGCCTGCGCTGCCCTGCCCTGCCCTGCCCTCCCTGCCTGCCTGCCTGCGCTGCCCTGCCCTGCCCTGCCCTCCCTGCCTGCCTGCCCTGCCCTCCCTGCCTGCCTGCGCTGCCCTGCCCTGCCCTGCCCTCCCTGCCTGCCTGCGCTGCCCTGCCCTGCCCTCCCTGCCTGCGCTGCCCTGCCCTGCCTGTCTGCCCTGCCCTGCCTGTCTGCCCTGCCCTGCCTGTCTGCCCTGCCCTGCCCTGCCCTGCCCTGCCTGCCCTGCCCTGCCTGATTGCCTGTCTGCTCTGCCTGGCTGTTCTGCCGAGCTTCACCTCCTGTCTGTCTGCTGCTGCCCTGCCTCAGTGCCCGAACTGATTGCCTCTCTGCCCTGCCTGGCTGCCCTGCCTGGCTGCCCTGCCTCTCTGCCCTGCCTGGCTGCCCTGCCTGGCTGCCCTGCCTCTCTGCCTGCCCTGCCTGGCTGCCCTGTCTCTCTGCCCTGCCTGGCTGCCCTGCCTCTCTGGCTGCCCTGTCTCTCTGCCCCGCCTGGCTGCCCTGCCTCTCTGCCTGCCCTGCCTGGCTGCCCTGTCTAGCTGTCCTGCCTCTCTGCCTGGTCCGTCCTGCCTCTCTGTCTGCTGCCCCGCCGGATTGCTTGTCTCTCTGCCCTGCTCGGCTGGCTGCTCCGCCTGGCCTCCCTGCCCTGCCTGGCTACCTTTTGCCCTGCCCGCTTGCCCTGCCTGGATGGCTTGGGTGGCTGTTCTCCGGGTTGCCTGACAGAGGAGGCTGGAGCAGCGTGTGGGTGAGGGGGGGGAGAGGGGGCTTCTGGGAGCTGTAGTTCCGGGAGTCCGTGACTCTGAGTTCATTAACCCGCAGAGAACTACAACTCCCGGCTCGCACCGCGCGTCCCCGAGCGCTGGCTTGGCTGCTTTGATTGACAGCGCAGAGGGTCGCTTATCGATTTTAATCAGCTGCTGCACACCGGGCTACTGGGGATTGACAGCTTCACCACATCCCCCAAGGCAGCAACCCCCCCCCCACCCCCGCCCCACCATCACACAGCACCGGCAGTTATTACGATTGCAATTATTATTAATATCAGGTCTTTTGGACGTCTCGAAGCACTTCACAGAATATACTGTGAAGTCAATTGACTGTATATTTTGTGGCCGAAACAATAATGTGAAGCTGCAAATCAGCCTTGGGATACACAGGGAAGAATCCTTCCAAAACCCTTTGCACCTTTTTTTTGGACTAATTTCACTGGCCTCTCATTGCAATAAAGCAAGAGTTTGATTAACTGTTAGATGGAGTCCTGTAGCTCAGTGGTTAGAGCACTCGCCTCACAAGCGAGAGACCTGGGTTTGATTCGCGGCAGGGTGAAACCTTGGGCAAGTTTCCTTTGTCACGCCTGATAATAATCCCACAGGAAAAAATACTAATTTGGTCTCTTCAATCCATGACTGTTTGTGGGACACTGCTGTGCGCAATCGGCTGCCGCGTTTCGCCCACAAACAGTATATTCTGTGAAGCGTTTTGAGATGTCAAAAAAAACTGATAAGGCGCTTAATCAAATGCAAGGATTATTATTATTATAGATCCAATCTTGAAGTTGCACCTTTCATGCCACAAATAAAGAGCGCGGTAGATAGGACATACGTGTGACATTGCCAACAATCAGATAAGATAGATCACCTTTACTAACAATGTTACAGTGTCTGTCACACTTGCCTGAACAAACACCATCGTGACTTCAATGACTGCCTTTTATTGAGCAGCCAGGAACAATTTATCATCCATCGTCTTCCAACCAGTCAGTTCCCAGACAAAGACAATCACTGGCTGGCGAGTCACTGAAATGTGAAATGTATTTCATAGTTCACTTCATTTTCAACGTCACCACTTTTTTTTTATTCTGGAAATGTAGGTCAGAATTAGTTTGAAGAGAACTGCTAAGTAATGAAACGGTTTTGTAATAAATGCAAAGCTCTGGGAGTTAATTCTGCCAAACAGGAACATTGAGTTAGTGAAGAGGGTGACATAATTAACATGATAGTGAATTAGAAGTTGCATTTATAAGGTAATACTGCTCTATGCATTATTTAACAGACATATTCATGTTTTCAAAACCTTTTTAAAAACTGTCTGTTACAGGTCAATGCTCTTAAATTCCCCCTCCTTTCCCACTAGCTCAGTGGTCCCCATCCTCTTCGTGATGGGCTTCAAGACAAAGTTTCAGCCACAAAATACACAGTCACTGCACCTTACATTGTATCCTGTGAAGCACTTTGAGACATCTCGAAAACCTTTTAAGGTGTTGTATCAAATGCAAGGATTCTTATTGTTAAAATTCATCCAATGTGAAAGGTGTTATATTAGCACGAGTTGTTGTATTCCCCACTCCCCCTCTCCCCACGTGTTAATACATAGGATTATGAACATAACGAGACAATGGAATAAGAAAAGGTCATTTGCCTCATCAATCCCATTCCCTCCACTAATAATAATAATCCTTGCATTTGATACAGCGCCTTATCACATTTTCAAGACGTCTCAAAGTGCTTCACAGAATATACTGTAAAGTAAATTGACTGAATATTTTGTGGGTAAAACGCTGAAGCCAATTACGCACAGCAGTGTCCCACAAACAGTCGTGGATTGAGTGACCATTTATCAAAAATATTGTTTTGTAGGAATTATTACCCTCAGAAAAGTGATCCGCCCATCAACTAGCAACCGAGTTCCTACTTACTGCTAGGTTAAAAAAAGGCGTGTGGAGTAAGGAAACTTGCCCAAAGTTTTGCCCTGCTGGGAATCGAATCCAGGTCTCTCGCTTGTGAGGCAAGTGCTCTAACCATTGAGCTACAGGACTACAGTTGCTACCTTATATTATCCCAACCCAGGATATTGGTGGGACATTTTTAGACTTTTTTTCTTTCGGATATAAAAACAATCAATGTTTTGTTGACAAGAACTAAGTAAATAAATTACATTGTTTATTGTTCATTACTTCATGGCTTTAATATATACTTTTGTTCAATTGGGAGCCCCAGTATCCTTGAGTTAACATCTTTGGAGTCTGGTACACACCAAACATGATCATTATTTATTATGCTGACAGCTGCAAGGTCATCACTATATGTATTTTCAAGCATACATGTTACATTTTTACAAATGCTCTAGGATTTAGTTTGTCAGCTCTGCAATTGGCCTCAAATACCCATCGGTTACAAAGAAGAAAAGTGAACCTTGTTCTTGCTGGAAGTGAGCATTGTGTCGAGGTTAAATGAGGTTGTTTCCCCGACCCCCCCCCCCAGCTGGTGAAAGAGTCAACAGTTAGTGGCCAACAGTCACTGTCAAGGGCCTTCCCATTAAGCAACAACTAACAAAATTCTTCTTTTGTACCTCTGTAAATTTAGGTTTTATTTAATCTACAATTACTTTTTTTTAGAAAAACCTTACATCATGCCCCTTCACCATTTTCTTTAACCATTCTTTGTGGCTCGACATTGTAAAACTAGGAATAATTTGTTTCCCTTTCTCTGGATTTTCCATTAACTGTGTGTCTTTTCAAAACTACGATGACCATAACTTATTGTTTTAGGCAATGGGCCAGGATCATATTTTTAGATTTATCATAGAATCGTGGAATGTTACAGCACAAAAACAGGCCATTAGCCCCATCAAGTCTGATCTAGTGTTTCACTCTATGTGAGCCACCTGATCTAGCTCCATTCCCTCCCTATACCTCTAATATCCCTAATATTCCTCTCTCAAGCATCTATCCAATTCCCTTTTAAAATAATGATCCTTACATGTGGTATACAATACAATATTACATTGATATAGCCCCTTTTATATCGGGGGGATGTCCCAAGACTCTGGACAGTCAGAGATTTGAACCCGAGCAGGGAGGAGGTTTGGGATCGGGGAGAGTGGGGGGCAGGAAGGGTGGGAGGGTGGGCGAAGGTGCGGTCAAAGAGTAGGGTCTTGAGATGTGCCTTGAAGGAGGCAAGGGAACGAGTAAGGCGAAGGGAATGTGGGTTGGAGTTCCAAAGGGTAGGGACAGAGTGGCTAAAGGCCTGACCGCTGATGGTGGGGTGGGCCAGGCAGGGGACGTGGAGCAGGCTGGAGCCTGCTGAATGGACGGAGCGAACAGGTTGATATGGGGTTAGCAGGTCACAGGAGTAAGATGGGGCAAGGTCGTGAAGGATTTTGAAGGTGAGGACGAGGATTTTTAACTCTATCTTCTGGGGGATGGGGAGCCAGGTGAGGGTGGGGATGATGGGTCACAGAACCTGGTGCGAGTTAGTAACCACATTTATTTGGGGATTGTTGGTCAGGACACCTGGAGAAACTTTCTTCTCTTTTCAAACAGTGGCAAGGGATTTTTAATACGCACATGAACAGGCATAGACAAGACTTCGGTGTAACATTTCATCTGAAGCTCAGCACCTCTGATAATGTAATGTCCCCCAGCACTGTACTGGAGTGTCAGACTAGACCATATGAGTTCTAAGACCTAAGTGGGGCTTGAATCCACAACCTTCAGACTCAGAGGTGAAAGTGCTAACTGAGCCAGGCTGACACATACTTTATGAACTCTGAGTCAATAATGCTGATTTATATTTTCCAGATTAAGGATACAATTCAACTTTTTATTTATGCCTTTGGAATTTGTACCCTTACACTGTGACAGCACTTTCAACAACAACAAAAAATTATGTAGGAAGACACCTCAAAGATAGTGGAATCCTGAGCTGGGAGGACTTTTTTCTTTTGACACAGATGTCTTAATAATACATATTCATTTTGTAATTACACTTTCTATTTTTAAATAGCAGTATGTAGTGTTGTATTTCTCAATAATAAATTCTACATGCAGCTGATCTGCCCTATTTCTCTCTATGGGCCTCTTTTTTATAGCATCAAGGTCGATTAAAACTGATTGCATATATATACTTTTATTTCTGAATCTGCACCCGATGGGTTTTACAGTAAAA